GTACAAAACTTGGCGAAGTGCGAGGGCGCAAACGAGCAGTGCCGTTGTTTTTGCCAGCCGGGACTGCAGCGCGCTACGCAGCAGCGAAATATTTTCCGGACGGGCGAATGTTTCTCACCGCGAACATCGGCGTTTGTTTCCGCGCTATAATAACTCGTCGGTGATAAATCACGCTCATGCGATACTTTGTCAAACGCGCCCGACAGCGCGTTTAAATAATTAACCTTTTGTCCCGGATGGGTGTGTAATTTTTTATTGAATCCTATAACAGACGCGGCCAACTGTGCGATTTCACGAGTGAAATACTGTGATTCAATTTTGTGATTGCTGTGACGACGAGCGTGATTTATACGCTTCTTTATAACGCACTTTGTTCTGGTAATTAATCTCGTAGTAATCTCACGTTTTGAATATTCGCAGTAATTTCATTCAAGCCTCTGTCCTTTGTAACTGCGCCCTTTGCTAGGATAATGCCTCTTTAAGCGCCGCACACATTTGGATTAGATACAAAAGTAATTTTAAACGAAAATACATCTGTACATGATATTGCACATAAATTTTGTCATAAACAATTAGGTATTTGTTATATATTTTTGCTTTTGTAGAATTAGGTATTTGTTGTATATTTTTGCTTTATAAGATTATGAAAATATATAATTAATTTGCGGTGAAATGCTTAAATTCTATCAAACAATCCTGCAGAACGTAACAAAATACGCAAGTTTAAATAATCCACTGTCATTATAATGTTTAACTTTTCGTAAATTTGCAAAAAACCTGGCAATTTTTCGTTGTTTCCGCACGTTATATTCCGCTCGTAATATTTCCGCTGTTTTTTATCGCATTTATTTGCATCGGAACTTATTGAATAAATCTTTTACAATTGTATGTACGAAACGCTTTCGATACATTACGCGTGTGGTAATTTACACACATCAGACTTCTATAGATTTTCTGAGCATTTAACTGAGCATGTCGGATGCGCAAACAGAGAAAAATTACTGTTTGCTAGACGAAATACAAGATTATAAATATATCAGCGCAGAATCCATTTAACCATAATTTTCCGTTATTTCCACGCGTTTCATAATATGTACGCTGTTTTTATCTCGTTTATTTTATTTATACCAAAACTTATCGAACGAATAATCTTTCACATTTATATGTACGAAACGTTTTATACGTCATATTATGTCATAAATGTCATAAATAGTATTTTTACATTTACGATTATAAATAATTGTTTTAGCTTTGCTATCTATTTTAACTTGGCTTCTTCTAAACGAGTATCTTTATTTCTGTAGCAAAGAGTAAGAATAATTTACATAAGTGATTTATTTAATTTAAGTAGAATCTTAATGTATTATGTTTAACTTTTTCTACAAAAGGCGTATACATAAGTGTGTCATCTAAAACACGCTTGTTGCTTGTTGTCATGCAGTGGCTGTCGTCTTAATTGGTATTATGTTATTCAAACATACCCCGTGTCCTTACGTCAGGCGTGTCGGCTCTTTACGACTGTTTCGCGTTTTAATGTTGCCACATTCAAAGGATTAATTTTACTTTTCTAATTAAACTACTATATCTCATTATTCAATTATGCGAAATAAATTATTTACATAGTACCTCTAAAAGCATTAAAATAAAATGTTTCAATCTACTATATAATTTTTTTAGCGTAAAAGCGTTGATGATTAGGATCTAGGATGATTATATCCTGAGTAATCTCGATCTAAGGCGGAGCCGGCCGACGAGGCAGGTAATCACGTGTTTTGCGACTGCAAAGCATATGAAGCGATAAAATTACTGCTGATTAGCTGATTGTGGTAGCGTAGTTACTCAACAACTGACACGCGTCTCGTATGTTGCGTTTATTCATAAATAGTGCGCGCACGCATCGTTGTTCAGTGAAAAATTGATGTAGTGACATGAGCTAAAAATGAATCTTCAGTTGCTCTGCATTCCATAAATACTTATGCTTAATGCATCCCTTTTTATCATAACACGTATATCTGTATATAAAGTATAAAGCGATAAATTATAAAATACAGAAAGATCTTATTTGACAATTATAAAATACTTATTTTTTTTATAAATAATATTCATGCTTAGTTCATACTTAATTAGAGAAAATTGAATTATTTTATTAGAAGGAATAATAAATTTAGCGAGCTACTGGCTGCGCGGAAAAGCGCGGAAATATGAATGCACTAAATTTAATAACAAACTTCGAAGCGACGCGGTAATTTCCTTCTTTTAATACTCGCCCTTCACTCGCGCTCCGAAAAGTGTGGCAGCTTTATCTCGAATAACGCGAAAAATATGTCTATTTAGCAAATTACATTTTGCTCAATTCCCCATTCCTATTAGAGAAAGAGTCTCTATGTGGCAGAGTATTTATTTGAAAATTACACAGAAAATTGTACTTATGTGAGACTTGCTTCCATAGCACTGTCTGTCATTTCAGCTCTCTTCCGTCGCTACTTTCGCGTTCGTGAGTTCGTGTGCCGCGCGCGCTGTGTGCAGCCGCTTCCCGTCGTAACTTGTATCTTTATTTTGTGCCGCAGGATATCATAGCTCATGGCTCGGGTATGGTGTTCCACGTCATAAACCTCGTCGTGATGGTGCTGATGCCGATGGTGGTCATCCACGTGAAGGATTCCGGATTCAGTCTGGGTAAGCGCCATTTTACGTATCGTTTCACTCGCGAATTTCGCGTGCACCACACGATATTACTTACGTGCCAGCGCGGCGGTCGGGGATCGATTGGGGGTAACATACGGATACGTATGTAAGTAATGCTCTCGAGTTACCTTGCCTCGCGATTCGAATAATACCACCGTTGCCGTGCACGCGGCCAAGTGTGAGTTTATGTAGTTGTTAACCGTGCGATGCGAAATCGTTTGGGTATTCACCAGACTTGCTTATCGCGCGAATCCGTTTTTTTTTTCTTATGACATACAATTAATTTCTAATCCGTTTGTACACGCCATGTTTCTTTATTGCACAGTATCTGTATATGTTCGCGAACATGTAAGATTATTATTCATGAAAGTGTTAACAAAAGTGAGCAAAAGCTTCAAGCTTTATTATACAGAGTTGATTTTGTCAAACAGCACTTTTTTTTTAATTGCACAGCAGTGTTAGCTATTTTTTTATTATTAAATTGCCATTGTTTTTAATTGGAAATTTATATATATATATATGTTTTTTTCTTATATAAGAAATTCAAACGCGTTGATTGTTAAATTATAAAATAATTGATTTTTAACTGTCCGCTATTTCTATATCCATTTTACAATGTCATATTTGTTCTCGGTGAAGAGCGTGCTATCGTATCAAAAACTCTATTTAAATGCAATATGTATGGTCATTCGGGCAAATCAATGCAGCGGAGAGAGTGCCGCAAAGAGTCGTAGAGTTCACATGCAAATGCAATTACTTGGTGCTCTTTTTTTATCTACAGCTTCACGAGCTCGCGTTATAGCCTGCATATTAAGGGAGAGATGGTTTTATATCAGACATTTTAATTCTGAAGTTTTCTATTGAGAGCGCGAAGTAGTCCGCGTGGAACCCCATTAGAACGCGCGTCATCAATTAAATCTGAGATCTAATCTTAACATTTATTCTTTTTCCTCGGATTGCGTGTCATAGCCTCTTCTTGTTCGAAGAAAAGCAATTAAAACGTAACTAGGTTTGCGAGCGCCAAAGCAGCGCGCGCTTGTCTAATTAAAAGAATTTAAATTAATTCTCATGGAGCAGACGCACCCCGTGAGCGAGCGATCGATTCAATAGGTGTATTGTCGCGCGCGACGATCTAATTTACTTTTTCAATCTGAATGACGAATTATCGCAAAGAAAAGTCGGAACTTTTCATGGAAAATCACTGGATTTTAATTAAAAGATCTTTAATCGTCGTCCTTTGGGGGGGGGGGGGCGCCGAGCGTAATAAGCCAGTGTTCCTTCGCTAATTCCGCTCGGTACTGCATTCTTAATATTCTCTCCGTCATTTACATACTTGATACAGAACTGCGAGTAAATACTCGAGAAAGTCCTCGCCGGTTTCTCGAGTAAGACGAATCGATGCATGCTTTTCTTGACATTCGTAAGAAAACTCGAAGTGAATCTTGTATTACCGACTTTATACCGTTATCGAGGAGTATCTTCAGCGTTCGTCTTTTACGACGCTTCTACGCCGGGGCTGAAGAAGCTTTGATTCTGTCACGATATTCGACCGTCAGTCGTCGCCGATGTAGTTGACGAGAGACAGAATGAGAGACAAGATTTGCGGATTGATCACAGTTTGAAAAACGGCAGAATGCGAGCTTGCGAAGAATAGAATTGTCAAAGCTCGAAGCATCGACAAAGGAAGATCTTTTAGTCTCGCGAAAGATACATCCGTCTTGTAATAGTTAACTGTGTGTGTTCGCGATGAAGTTCAAGTAGGTGCTTTGTTTTAGTTTCAAATGGATTGCCCGCAGCGAACATTCAAAGACACGAACAAAGAAAAATTAGACGACGTTAAGATCGGATTATTTTGTTTTATACGGAAAAATGAAATTAATCCCACGTTTTCATTTTTTATTATTAAAATTTCCGACACACAAAGGTATTTTCAATAAATAGTACGAATATTTTACTTGTAAAAACATTATAATAGCCAAAGATAATATTAAATTGCGAGTAATTTGAAGTTTCTGACTGCAAAAAAGTTTTCTTAGCCGCCCTCGGCGGCCGCGATTGCACACCGGGGAATTCCCAGATTGAACTGTAACGGATGACAATGAAACTTCAAAGTTGGATCGAAGCTTTTGAACTTTGACAGGAGAACATATGACCTCCTATCATCGAGGATGCAGTGTAGTCGAAGGTGAAGGATCGTCATGCTTCAAACTCCGTGAGATTTACTTCGCTACTACGAAACTGGAAGTGTTACTGTTCTTGCGGATATTGGAACATTTGAGAACTCGTTATCCGAATAACCATGATAGTTATAAGTTGGGCATCGTAAATTGGTTACGAAGTATAACAGCTGCATAACAATCCGTAATATGCAACATTGTATATAATAATCTCCATCGAGAAATAGTACACCGTAGAAGATGAAGAGATAAAAAAAAAAACATAAAAAATGTTTAATTGCGTATTATTTTGCAACAATAAAATAGAAATATTAGGAGAGAAACTTGAACAGAGAATCTTAACTAAAAGTTTCATCTTAACGAAAAGAAGCATTTGCTTACAAATGTGCATATGATCGAGGCGAGTATATAAAAAAATAATGCTCGAAGAAATACAGAGACACGATAAAATGTAATAGTTAGGAAAGAAGTAGTCCGCGGCAAAAATCTAGAAATCTTTGACGAGCGTCCAAGAAATCCTTAAAAGTCTGATTCTCCTTTTATTTTCGTCCATAAATCGTCGAGGACGGGCATCCTGGGAAAACCATCGTTGGTGTGAATGCGTCTTTACGTCCCGGCTCGCGTAGACATCAAGCCTCCCCGGTGTCTACGTGAGTGAATACACTTTTGAGTGCACACTCTCGTATACGTCCGTCTCGCGTGTTGAAGGGTCGAGCATCCCGGGCAAAGGAGCGACGAGATAGTACTACCGGCGATGTAGGGAAAGAGAGGAAGAGAGGAAAGAGACTTCCCGTGAGAGAACCCGGGTCGTCCGGGCACTTGAACCAAAGCCACTGCACTCCCGCTCTCGGTGCGCTCGGCTACGACTACGGGAAGTTTTAAGAAGCGCTTAGGCGGCTCGAACGCGTGCGAATCTTTGCCTTTCGCGCCGCAGTGGCTTCTAGCTTTCCGTCTGTGCTCCTACGGTTGCCGATATAAAAGCATCTAGTTGCGGTGGATTTTTCTTAAGAACCGCCGCTACATATATTGTATTCTTCATACATCGCGGATTTTTTTGAATATTTTTATGTCAAACACAATAATTATAGCGAAAGATTCCAGTAAAAAAAATTAATTGTATTTTTCTATATTCAACGAATATTCGTTACCGAACAATTCAATTTTTCTGTTTTATTCTTCAATCATTTTGACATCGTATTATTTCGCATTTATCTCATCTCATATTATTCACCTCATCTCACTGTTGTCACGTGCATTCGATTGTACTTTTTTTTTCGCTGGACACGAACATCGAACAATTTAATTCTTCTAGCCGTGCTTCTCGTCCGGCCGAAACGACAGAGTTAAAACACGCGAGATACTCGTGGAAAACTACAGCGCGAGAGAGAGAGAGAAAGAGAGAAAGGGACGCGGCACGACATGTAGCACATTGCCGTCGATTGCCGTAATTACGATGGTCGTCGATGCGAAAGCATCGACGCGCGGCCGTCGGACGTCGAGTTTCGCTCATTCGGAAGTGCTCCTACACCCGAACGTGCCGCGCTTTTTTCTGTTGATACTGCGAAACGTGACACCCGATAGAAATGCGACATGAACGAGCCACGGCCTTTCGATCACTTCTCTTTCTCGCTCCCCCGATCTGTCTGTACGCGTCTCGTTGTTGCTTTCGCAGTCGCGCGCTTATACACCCGCATTTTCTCGCGTCGCTCGCACGGCAGACAGCCGCAACGCAGTAAAAAGCGTCGAGTGTTTGCCGCACGGTTAAGTGGTACCATATTGTCCTACAGAGAGGGTCCTCGCCTTCGGTTTAACGATTGGACGCACGTGTCGATGTAAACACAATCGCGTGACGGCCCATCAAAAGCCACATTCAGCGAAAATGGAAGATCGTGTAGCAGCAATTGTCAATACCAGTCAAATTGGTTAAGGATATAGTTTTGTTTTTCATACATGTATACATGATAAATGGTTTTATACAGCATGCTTTTATAAAGTCTAAATGTGCGGAGTTCTTTCTGCAAACGTTGGCTCAGTAGAAAAATCACTCACTGGTCAGACATGCGAAATGAGAATGCTGAATTTCTCTTGATCAAAAAGGTGCACATTTGTGTTTTGTCTCACATATTCAACGAAATCATTATTAGATCGATCTAGATGTGGCTTACTAATTGACTTGACTGAAATGAGAAATTTTGTTATCGCGATTTACACCCGTATTCTTCATTAATATGTAATGTATTAAATTTGACGTATATTTTAATTACGAAGAGCTTATCTCGTATTGTTTTACTTTGATTTATTTTGATTTATATTCGGATTTTAGTCAGACTTTTAATTAAATTATTAATTATCCGTATCAAACTATAATATTAAAATATTTTACTTCTTACGTTCGTCACTGTTGTTATGCGCCCTACTTTTCGTTATAACTCTACGTTGAATTTTCCCAAGTTTAAGAGATATATATATAGCTTTTCCTGGCTTTCGACTATCTAGCCCGACGCAATAATCTCTGTATATCCGGCGCGAGCGCAAATCTAGTCACTCGAAATTACCGGTCCGCCCTCGCGGTATTTGCAAATTCTTGCTGCACACTCTTCGCGGCGAGCTGTCACGAGCAAGCGGATATACTCGAGCGCACATATAACCCGGGCGTTCTAATAATTCTCCGCCTCCACGCTTTCAATTTCGCAACCGATCCATAAATTCACCCCCGAGGTGCGCACTTCGCACACGCATCTCGCAGCCACCTGTAAAGCTCGATTCACACATAGGTGTATGATATGATTTCGCATTTCTTATACACGGATTACC